GAACGCAGCTGCGAACTCCAACCCCGCACCGCCCGCACCTACGATTCCTTCGACTACTACCGCGTCCTCTTCGAGTCCAGCTCCTACTACCACTACANACATGAGTCAGAACACGAATACACCATTGATGCCCCCGCGCGGTCATTCGACAGCACCGAGCTTCGACCCATCAGAAGTCCGTTCGCTTCGGTGTTACTTCCAGGACCTCGAAGCATTGTTCACCCGGTGTCAGATCACCGACGAAGCAGCCAAGAAACAGTGGGCCGTTCGGTATCCTTCGATCGACGTCGCCGACTTGTGGGAAACCATCGAGTCCTTCATCGACGTAGCCAAGAGCTACAACGACTGGAAAGCCGACGTACGAGCACTCTATCCTGGCGCCGACGATACAAGAAAGTGGTCGCTGGCGGACATGGATCAGCTCATCGGAGAACGCGCTCGTATCGGGATTCACAACGCGGCAGACCTAGGCTGCTACTACCGCGACTTCATGGCCATTACGAAACATCTCATCGCACAGCACCGGCTCTCCACTATCGAACAAAGTCGCGCATTTCTTCAAGGTTTCCAGCCAGCGTTGCTCACACGGCTCGAGACCCGACTGCATCTCAAGCACCCCGATCACTACGCCGACGACCCATACACCATGGCAGAGATTCACGCGGCGGCTACTTTCATTCTACACGGTACATCGAGCACACCTACGACCGCGGCGAACCAAGCTATCGCTTCGACATCGAACGCTTCGACCACGGTGCCCCCCGGGATGATCAAAACCGAAGACATCTCGATGATCATCGAAAGCCTGTCGAGGACGATCGCGACACTCATTCAGCCGACGACGCATGCTACGCACAACCACGCCCCCGCACCGAGACAACAAGCTGCCGTCCACGTCCACGAGAACAGCGGAGCTGAACAGACGTGCCACTACTGCGGCAATCGTGGCTGCAGGGTAGGCACCTGCGAGTTCGCGGAGATCGACATTCGGGACGGCAAGTGCAAACGGAACACCGATGGCAAGATCGTTCTTCCAAACGGAAGTTTCTGTCCCCCGCACTATCCCTGGTCTCACAATACGAGATCGAATCTACGAGTGGCATAGAAGAAATCCCGCAGCACCCGCCGCTCCGACGATGCTCTTCGAGATCGACGATCGCTCGACTGTGCAAACGTTCACGCTCAACACTAGCGGCAGGATCGAGGCGCTCGAGCGAGAACTCCTTCAGCTTCGGAAGCGAAGGGAGGTCTTCGACGGCGTCGAGATTCTACAGCGGAAGAAGCCTACGACGACAGCCATCCCGAAAAGCGCGGAAGCCTCAGGATCTGGTACGTCGAAAGGAGTGGCGGCACCCTCGAGCACTTCGACAAGCACGGCCCCGCCTCCGACGATACCAGCAGCAGCACCCGCGCCGCCTTCTTCGCCGCCTACGCAATCCACTACTATGTCCGCTCCCCCAGCACCACCAGTACACCCCTTCGCAAACGCTCGCGACGCAACCTACGCCCCACCGAATGTTCGAAACTTCGCAACTCCGCCGAAGCCCTCGAACGACAAGGGCAAGGAACCAGCGTACAAGACCATCGTCCCTGTCATCCAGCCGAAGCTCGCCGAGGAAATCTTCCAGCGTTCGATGAAGTCGCAGTTCGTCACGCTGACCCCAGAAGAGTTGCTGTCGATCGCGCCCGACGTTCGAAACAAGTACCGCGACGCCGTCACCCCTAAGCGAGTCTCGACGGAACCCGTCGCGTCGGCCCACATCGTAGAAATCGGCGCCGACGAGGTCACGGCCATCAACCAGCTCTCGTGTTCGGGTGCAACATTGGAACCTGGTGCTACGATCGTCCCCGACCCCTATGAAACCTATCTGAAGCACATCCCTCACGGCGAGCACCCCGCAGAATTCACCGTCGCCCGCGATTCAAATGCGATTCGTTCGATCATCGCGTTGGTCGACAACAAGGAGCAAATCGAATGCATCGTCGACCCAGGATCGCAGATAGTCGCCATGTCGGAAGAGGTCTGTCTCGGCCTCAACCTCCTCTTCGATCCTACTATCCAGCTGAACATGCAATCGGCGAACGGCGAGGTGGACCGATCGCTGGGACTCATTCGAAATGTTCCCTTCCGCATCGGTGAAATCGTATTGTATCTTCAGGCTCACGTCATTCGAAACGCAGCATACGACATCCTCCTCGGCCGACCCTTCGACGTGCTCACGCAGAGTGTCGTCAAGAACTTCGCCGACGAGAACCAAACCATTACGATCCTCTGTCCGAACACCGGCGAAACCGTCACGATTCCGACGTACGCGCGAGGAAGATCGCGAAGCCGGCAGCATCCTCTCGGGTGTCGCAAATCGCATTTTCTCGCTTCGAGGAATTGATTCCCCATGATCAAGGAGAAGCCGCGCTAGTCATCGACTACGATGGGGTAAACCCGAGTATTTCCTTCGTCTCTCCTATTGATTCCTCGATTCCGAACGCTGTTTCGTCACTGTACCTCTCCGCATGCACCTCCGTTTCATCATATTTGCAGTCTCTTTACGCTTCGGACACTACAGCTTCTAATGCCGCCCCGTCGAACGCTTCAACGTGGGCTTCGACTCTTCTATTTTCAGCTCCGTTCGCTTCGACTCCGCCATCTCCCGTTCCGACGAAGTCCATTTCGCAGTTCTCCAACTCGGTTCTTCCTTTCCCTTCGATGTCGACTTCTACCCCTTCCACGCACAAGGTACTCGCCGCGACAAAGAAAAAGTACAAGCCTGTCGCTCTCAAAACTCG